AGCAAAAAGAAAAAAGCCAGAAGTGGCGCTGTGGCTCAAGTGGTAGAGCGCTAGCCTTGAGCTGAAGAGCTGAGGGACAGCGCCCAGGCCCAGAGTTCAGGCCCCACGACCGGACCCAAAAAAAAAAAAAAAAAAGGAAAGTTGGAGTAGAAAGTGGCCGTTACGAGCAGGCCAGTTCCCTCCAGTTGGATGGTAAATTCCGAGTGAATAACAAGAAGAGTTTCCAGTGCTCTATCAGAAATTCAGTCATGACCACAGAATTACATAAACAGTGCACTTTATCTTGGGAATCCCTTGGCTACACTTACACTATTCAAAGCACTTGAAAGTTCCATCAAGAATCATTCAAAAAATTGGTGTCTTACCAAAATTCACCTTGCACAGATGGCTATTTTTTTAATTAATAGGGTAGACCACAATAACTTTATAACATAAATGACATTCTGTGGCGTTCCAACATTCATGCTAGCATTCGTGGGGTGGAATGTTTATCTCGAAGTGCTCTGGCAGTCAGCCACACTATTTCTAAAATTAAAAGAGGGATGGAAAACAATCAGCATCCAGGGGAATTGGAACCATGACAATGTGTTTTGTATTAATTTACAAATACATGTATACATGTAAGGCCAAACTGAAGAGCTAGAGAATTTCTGCTACATTGTCTATCATATGCATTCTCAGCTTTATTAGAACAGACATCATATTGAAATAATAACATGGAGGCCCTCACATCTTCTTTGAAGCGTATTCCTAAATGTCTGAATGGCTCAAATTTAAAATAAACTTGAGTATGTTTGCACTTGAAAACTGGAAGTAGACCACATGCAGTAATTTGTTGTCAGTTTTCATATTCTTAGACTAAAGCTACAGCTTAGTCTGTTCACGGTTGAGGGCCAAATCACTTGTGTCTGGTGGTCCAAGGTAGCCCGTGACTCCAAGAGCACGCACTGTGGCTTCACAGTGAGGATGACCCCTTCTTTCGGCAAAGGTTAAAGTTTTGCACATCTCAAAATACTTCGAAGGCCACTAGGGAACTGAGGAGACACCACCAGCAAGGCCTTCTTCATTTGAATCAAATTACAAATGTTCAAGAATTGAGGAGGACAATTCAGTGCAGACAAAAATTTTTTGAACTGGCTAACTTGTAAAAATTCACTTAAAAGTTCCAAGCTACCTTTATTCTTTACACTATTGCTTTCCTGGGCAGGGGAAGCTAAGTGCATGCAGAGTGTCTACGGTATCTTTAAAAAAACACTGGTGGGCCAGTGCAATGGGTGGACCATCATCTTTTATAAGAGGTCCAACATGAACTATGTCATGAACTTTATCCAATGTAGGAAGGACTTATGCTGAAGCATTACCATTTTAAATGACATCCAATTGCCTCATGAATTGGAAGTATACAATGAATGAAAACAATAGTTATTTGCAGGGGCAAAAAAAAAAAAAAAAAGGAAAATAACCTAAATGTCAATTGGATCCCTATAGAGAAGGTTATCCCTATGTATTAAGTGGGAAAAAAGCAAGTTATAGAACAATTAAGGATAGAAATAAATACATATATATTGACACCAAAAGTACACAGCAAAGGTTCATGTTGTGTAGTCTAGAGAACTGAGTTCTCACTGGTGTGTATTCACATTGTCTGCGTGCACACTGCTTCACACAGGTTTCACAGCCAGTATCAATTTTTTTTGTTATTGTTGTTGGTCATGGAACTTGAACTCACAGTCTGAGCACTGTCCATGAACTATTTTTGCTCAAGGCTAGCGATCTACGACTTTGAGCCACAGATCCATTTCTGGTTTCCTGGTTGTTAACTGGGGATAAAGAGTCTCACAGACTTTCCTGCTCAGACTGGCTTTGAACTGTGATCCTCAGATCTCAGCATCCTGAGTAGCTGGATTACAGGTGTGAGCCACCAGCACCTGGCTTGTGAATTCTTTTTTTTTTTTTGGTCGGTCATGGAGCTTGAACGCTAGGCCTGGGTGTTATGCCTCAGCTCTTCAGCTCAAGGCTAACGCTCTACCACTTGAGCCACTTCTAGTAGTAAACTGGAGTTAAAAGTCTTACAGACTTTCCTATCCAGGCTGGCTTTGAACCATGATCCTCAGATCTCAGCCTCCTGAGTAGCTAGGATTACAGGTGTGAGCCACTGGCACCTGGCTCACTGGGTATTTTTTTAAAGCAAGAAACTTTTAGGATTAAAGTTTACCTTAAGAGTTAGGCGCTGTTTCTGTCTCCCATGCTCAAGGTCTAGAAAATCTACTAGATAGACTCTTCAAAAACCGAATAGTGCACTTTCTGTAATGCTATAATAGAACTATTCAGGAAAATGGTCAAACTCATTGAGAAGGTTTAATCAAATTCTTGGAAATTGATCACTAGAATCCCTTTCTCCTCTTCCAAAATATTCATTTTACAGAGTTAACCTAAGTGACCCTGATTTTGATGATGCCATATGTATAAAGCCTTCTAAGCATTTTTCCTAACACGAGCAATGAATCTGCATGGCAGGCATGGTTTACTGAGGTTCAGGCCGGCACTAAGTAAGTAAATGCAACTGCTTGGAATGTC